ATTTGGATGGTGTTATTCGTAATTAGAGGTGGATTTTTTAGTTTCATTTGTCAAGCTCTTGTCGGACCATCATGCTATGGTCTTTTGGTGTTTTTATCAGGAAATTTCTGATATTATGCTAATGTAAAGCCATTCTCTGAAGAAACAGCACTGAAGCCAAACACCTACCATATATATTGTTGCTGATTAGAAGTAGATCCTGCTATGTGAATTTGTGAATTATTTTATCTCTTTCCTTCATGGTACAAGTAACAATGTGACCCGTTGTCGCAAAATACCCTTGTTCTATTTTCAGGCCTTGTACTTGATTTGAGGTTCCTATCTTTCTTGTACATGCACTCATGAAAGAAAAAAAAAAAAGAAAAGAAAAAAGAAATTGAAACAAAAGCTAAATTACATCTCGTTTTTCAGTCATGTAGTTTTTTTTTTTTTTTTAATTTTGATAAGTAGCAAAAGGTTCATCTTGGCAGTCTAAAATCAGTCATTGAATTAGGCAAACCTTTGTATTTATAAAAGCTAATTATTTAAAAACAAGGTGCCAATCAGTTGATTGGTAAGGTCTCCTACTGGTCGTAGTGGAGACTGGGATCGAATCCCGTCTGCACATGGATTGGGGGATGGGCTACCCCTGTTGTATAACCCACCCTTCAGAAGATATTATAAATAAGAAAGAAAGAAAATGAATTATTTATACAGCTCCTTTGGTAGTTTAAAGAATGGAGCTAACAAAAAGATAAGAATATACGGTTGCAAACTTGCAGTTTTTGTGGTTTATCCCTTTCTTTTCTTCTTTTGTTGATAAAGTGTGGTGATTTATTCATTTGGCATTTCTAAAGAACCAACATGTATTATATTGATTGAAGTAACATGGTCTTTCTTTTTTATYGGAGGAACCGTTTTTTGGCACTTTTCGGACCATCTTCTTTTTTAGTGGGGACTTCGCCTTTTCTTGCCTCATGGGATTGTTTGTCTTGGAAGGAGTTTTATTTTGCAAGATAACTGTTACGTTCAAGCATGGGTGAGACAATGGTTGGCTCTCTTCTTTTCACCTTTCAAATTTTAAGTTTTTTGTTGCGATTGCCATAGAACGGGTGCCTTTGATCATTTTTTGTGTATTCCCGTTTTTGGGAGTTTCTTGTGGAGTTTTGATTCTGTTGGAGGTCGGTCTTCCTTTATTGGCGTTTCCATCTTTTTGCGCTGTTTGCAGAGTGCTTACAAGAATTTCTCCTAGTGCTCAGGATTTGTTGAAATCTATATTGGGTTTATCTTTTTTTTTTTCTGATTGTATTCTCATGAATTGTATTTGAGTTTCTGAGCATTCTTAATGAAATTAGCTATTGACTTAAAAAAGAAAAAGAAGTAACATGGTCTTTTGTTCATGGAAATTGATTCTTCTCAATGAAATGTATATTATAGTAGAAAAATCCAAGTGATTCTTTTCAAGCTTATAGATCTACAAGAAGAAGATGCTCATGTTATTCGTGAATTTAAGTAGTTTCATATTTACATTTTTATTCATAAAAAAATAAAAAAGTCCACAAAATTCTAAAAGGCCCGAAAAACAATATGAAGAGTTTGACTTGGAGTCTTGGACAACTGAGATTTGATTATATAGACTTCTTCCAAGTTCCAACTCTACCCTTCTTCCAAGAATCATCTTGACAAATCTCCTCATTCTTAAATGCGATCTCAACTTAGGGTTTGATTATGTACTCGCTAGAAAGACAATTAGGTAATGGAAAAACATGAAACCAATGAATTGGTATCATAAAAGTGGTAATCAATCAGATGATATATATATAAAGTTGTGAGGGGTTTTTATTGGTCAAAGCCCTTTTGATATCATGATATTCGGGCATCATAGATTTTCCCCTGGATTTAACCATTTAGTTACAGCAACTAATGTTCCAAAAATTGATACGTATCGTATTAAGAGCACCCCGGTACAACCTTACAGACAAGGTTCAAAATATCGATATGTTCGATACACCGGTATAGGCATACCGGGCAAATCAATACAGATTTTCAGGCCTTTTTTTTTATTTTTTTTGCAACCAGTAGGTCTTCTCTACCCCCTGAACCGGTCAGACCTCCGATACATCCACTGTAGGGTATCAGAGGAGTCCCGGAATGATATGTATCGATACTTTGAACCTTGCCTACAAAGGATGTATCAGGGTTTTGACCAATTCAGGGGGTGGAGGAACCTTAAACAACTGCCCCTGAACCAGATTTAAAAAAAAATTAAAAAAAGTAAAAAGAAAAGTACTGTTACTGCCCAATACGCCCCTACCAACGTATCAGGCGATATTTAGAACCTTGACAACAACTAAGCCAGTGTTTAGAACCCATACCATTTTCTTGAAAAACTTTATTCTTGGACGACACCTTAGAAATCAGCAACCGTATGCTGATGTGCATTTAAAAATGCCTATGTGGCAGCAAGCAAACGGTTTTTGAGAAAATGGCATGCTAATGTAATACTGTTTATCTGTTTTCTTAAAAAACACTTCTCAAGAAACAACATTGATTCCAAACACAACCCTAATAAATTTCCCTAGAAAGGTACCAAGGATGATTGGTAAGGTCTCTTGTTTAAGTGGAGAATTGGGATTAAATCCTGCCTACAACAGGTTTCAGGGGATCATCCCTAAGAAAAGACAAAAAAAAAAAAGAAAAACTAATAAACTTCTCCATTATGAATGACTTGAATTTATCAGTTTATAATTAGATTGAACATGGATCTACTTCTACTTCTGTTAGAACTGTCGGGGTTTGGCTTTTGTCAAAATTTTCATGAATTTAATCTAAAGCCCGAGTTCAAAGTTCAGCCTCTGAACAAGTTTATGTCTTGATTAGTGAAAACTCGTATCATACCATATCTTTTTAGTAATCCTATTCATGGCTGGGCTTGAATTTGACTTTTGTTATAATTTAAATGGGCCCGGTCCGAAGTCCGAACCTAATACAGTGTAAAGTTTTTGACAATCATAAAAACCTCCCTTACACTCCCCTCCATCAATGATCAAGACGGAAAACGTTAAAGAGATGATATTTTTCAAAATGCCTATTTTACCCTTTTACGAATTAATGTGCATCTGTTTTTATTAAAATAGCCCTATACTCCCTTCCAACATTCCCTCTTCTTTAATTTCCCTTTTGAATCTCTCTCTCTCTCTCTCTCTCTCCCTAACGCTGCAGCTTCTGCTTCTCTACTCCTTGCCCCGGCTGTAACAACCACACCAACCACACTGGTGTGGTTGTCCCCAGAGAACATCGTCACTGACACTGTCACCAACGACAAGCTTGCAGTAGACGTGATAGCCCTTCCCTTTGCATACGGATTAGAGCCTAGCCCAATTGCTGCCACCCATCACTTCCTCTTCTCGTGTGCCCCAACTCCCCTCTTGGTTCATCTGGGGAGCTGTGTCAAGGGAATGGCGGGCTTCGGTCGCAACTGAATTGGGTTACCATCGTAGCTTACAACAACGCTTAATTTCGATCGGAAGTTCGCTATTTGTTTGCCATCGTCAACCGCATCAGACGGAATTGTTTTCTTTTACAATGGGCCTTATACGGTGGTTCCAGGCATCGACCTGACCTGTCGGAGACACTTTAGTTGGAGAAGAATCTTGTATAGTTGGATGTGGGTGCTTCAAGATTGGGGTTCAGTTCTTCGCTCTTGACCAGACAAACGATGTGCTCTGACTTCAACCTCCATCCGATTCATAGAGGCTCCTCATAGTTTTTTTCTCTCTCTCTTTGATTTATTAGGATTTGTATTAACAATCTTGCACTGTTTTTTTGGACTAACCATGTGAATTTTAATTTACAAACGTGTGAATGAAATTCTACTTTTTCCATTAAAGGAGATGGATGGGTTCGATAATTTAGAGGCACATTCCCAAATAACAATATTACACCAAAAAATATAGGAAATTCATTTTTAATCAGATATTCGAACCTCAACTAGAAACGACGAGAAAGGTAATCAGAAAACTCACTCCGTTCTGCTTGCAAGAGTTGACATCCGTCCAGCAGTCCTCCCCTTTGATGGCATTGACAGGCCAATACCAACTTGGTATGATGGCAGAGATCAGTGACGTTACCACCATCGTCTCACCCTGCACTCCTTCATCGCTTTCAGCACATTAATTGTCCCTTTGATTGTCATATCCAAAAGCTCTCTCAATTAATTAAATAAAATTAATTTTCATCTGTTATACTTCAGAGCCTCCAAGAACGAACCTCAGGGTCTTCGACTTTTTCCATAATGTAGGGGAAGCAAGGTGGAATATGCCGATGGTTCCATTAATCGTGGCCACAAGAGAATCATAGTTGAGGAGATCGATTTGGAAGAGGTGGAGACGGGACTCTTCTCCTTGTATAATCGATGTGCCATTATCTTTTGAACTCGATAGTGGTCATCTAGGTAGAACCAAATTGGTTGAGCGGGATTGCCAACTAAACAAAGGTAGGGCTATAGAGCAACCTGTTCAGCGGCCCTGTTCGACCATGGAACCATGTCAGAATCCGGACAATTGATCTTAGCTACAACTAGCTAGCCGGAGCCCTGGCTACCCCCAAAAGAAGTAGTAAAGGACTGAGAAAGGAGAGAGGGCTATTTTAGTAACAACTGGAAAGGTTAAAGGGGGAGTGCACCGCCATTCTAYCATTGTGCATCGTGAGGAAGAAGATAAACATTATTCGAACAGATTATGGAGTTGTTGAGACAAGACTATTTTAATAAAAATAGATACACATTAATTCATAAAAGGATAAAATAGGTATTTTAGAAAATGATCATTTCTTTAACACGTTTTCCGTTTTAGTCATTGGGAGGCATTTATTGAATTTTTCAAAAATAAAGAAGAGATTTCACTAAGGGAGGTTTTTAAGTGAAACTATAAGGGAGGTTGTTGTATTTTATTTAATTAGGGAAATCTATGATATGGAATAGATATTTGCATGTCATATTGCAATCCAAATTCGATTCGAATTCGGTATATAAATCCGACGGATAAGATTCGATTTGGTAAACGAATCAAATTTGGATCTACTTCAAACTTCATTTCTGTTTCGATTCGACCCGATCAGTTTGCATCCATGGAGGTAGAATCCACGAAATAACGAAGGAAGAGAGAGAGAGATTGGCAGATTGCTCCCCTGATCGTCATTGCCACCATCACCATCACCGCCACCGCCAAGCTTTGCTTTTTTTCTATTTATCCTCCTCCTCGATTTCAATTTTTTATTTTGTGTTGTGGATTAGAAAGATTTCGGCTTCGTACTCGATTTTGTTTATAAGAAGGAAGAAAGGGTTTACGGTTTCTATCGGTAACATTCTTGCGTTGCATAAATTGTTTTGTTTCAGGGGATTAGGGTTTTTGTTCCTTGAACAATGAAGTAGGGGCTTACTATTAACCAGAATTGTGAACCCTAATTGGATTTTTGTTTCGCAGAAGTTTCTTTTGTTTTACGGGAATATGATTCTTGATTCCAGAGAAGATAGGGGCTTACGCGAAACCTAAATCTGAACCCTAGTTTCTCCAACTCAAAATAAGGGATCTCAGGCGTAGAAGCGTAAACCTTGACCTTTCTGTCTCCACTTTCCAGCGTTGCTCTTAAAATTTCAAAATGCCGGCTACAGCAGGTAGAGTTCGCATGCCTGCGAACAATCGGGTACATAGTAGTGCGGCCCTCCAAACCCACGGCATATGGCAGAGCGCAATTGGGTATGACCCTTATGCTCCGAATAAGGATGATTCTAAGACATCGTCGCAGCAAAAATCGTCGAATGCTGAACCTGAGGCTGAGAATGCCTATGCTAGCTTCCAAGGACTCCTTGCTCTTGCCCGCATCACTGGAACCAATGCTGATGAGGCACGAGGGTCCTGCAAGAAGTGCGGCCGCGTCGGACATCTCACATTCCAATGCAGAAACTTTCTCAGTGTGAAAGAGGATTCTAAGGATAAAGACCCAACTGCTCTTCAGACCACTGTTGCTTCGGGGTTGGATAAATTGAAACCTAATGGAGGTAAAATGGATAACAAAGCAGATGTTGAAAGTTCTGAAGAGAGCTCTGAAGAGGAGGATGACAGTGAGAGTTCAGATTATGATGTGGATTCAGAGATTGAGAGGATCATTGCTGCACGGAATGGGAAGAAGGGTAGTAAGGTAACGACATCAAGTAAAAAGAAGGAATCCTCAGGGGCAGGAAGGTCTGATTCTGGAGAAAGGAAGAAGAGAGGTAGATCAAAGAAAAGGAGCAGCAGGAAGAGGGAGAGCAGTGATTCAGATGAAGATGAGGGTCATAGGAAGAGGAGGAAGCATAAGCAGAGTAGGAGAAATGAATCTTCAGATGAGGATGAGGATCATCACCATCATCATAGGAAGAGCGGGAAGGAGAAGAGGAGGAGGAGAAGTCACCGACACTCTTATGATTCATCTGGGTCTGAAGAATCTGATGGAGGACGCAAGAGGAAGAGCAGGAGGGCAGCATCACCATCTGATTCTGATATCAGCATCTCAGATGACTCTCGGTTTGGTAGGGGCACAAAGCGATCTGGAAAGAGGAGCAGAAAATAGTATCCTCAAGAAGAATACAATGATCACATGAGATGTTTGTCTCATTATATTTCTCTCAGATTTGATGATTGTTATATGGTAAAAATGTTTGTAAGTAATTGATATCCTGTTGGCTGTTCCTTTTCCTTTTTTGTTCATGGTTGGTTCTGTAACTTGGATATTTATGGCCAATGTCTTTTCCTAGAACTAGATGATCAATGTATTGCTGATTTTTGCTTATAATTTCATATTAGAAGGTGTAATTGGCCATGCTCTTCCTCTGATTGGCTATTGCATCAATGAACTCCCTTAATTTACTTTGATAGGAATTTAGCAATGTCTAACATTGATGTATCAGCTTAGTAAAAATATGCTACAATTTAGGCTATGCTTGGATTAACTTCTGAAGTTCTGCTTTTGAGCTTTGGGTTGTGGTAAACAAAAATGTGACAAAAAATGTTTCAAGTGTTTCTTTTGAAAACTCTAAAGTTAAAACACTTTTAAGCTCCAAAACACAAAGCATAAAATTGGGCTTTGTGCTTTGGGGCTTTAAAAACACAAATACCGAATCCTATCCAAACACAACCATATTTTATGCTTTAACTTATGTCTTAACTAGAAGTTCATTTGCAGATTTATTATGCATAATGTTAATGTGTGTGTGTTGGTTTGTATATTTTGGCTGATCTTTTGATTGGAAGACTGAGGTAACTCGTTAGATTGTTAAGGGGTCTTGTTTGGAGGGGAGGTATTTGGCCTATTGGCAGGAAACAGAAAATGACAAATGATTTTCTGGGTTCACAGGAAACTCGGAATGCTTCTGAGTGCTTCATTTTTCATACATGCTCTTCCCCTTCTGGCATTCTTGATCTAGTCTCCATAACTAGAAAGTGTGTCTTCTATGCTGGTTCATTTTCCAAAGATTTGTATATATTTTCTGCTTCATGGTTGTATCTGCATTTAGGAGCTGGTCAAATGATTCCTTTTGCCCCTTGACTATGCCAACTGCCAAGGCAACATTTCCATGAAAAAATTGCATAGTGAAAGGATCCTAATTAAGGATACATATGAGGGTGAAAGAACCATGTCAGAACTCCTGTGTGAAAGACATCAGATTTACAATTACGGTGGGTCTTCACCAGTTCACCAAGGTTCAGCACTTGGTCCTTATTTATTAACGCTAATCAAAGATGATTGATTATACATATTTCAGAGGAGGCCCCATGGTGCTTGACGAATGCTGATGACATAGTATTAATTGTTGAAACTAGTGAAGGATTAAATACAAAATTTGGTTTATAGAGAACTGCATTAGAAAAAAAAAAACATTTTAAGATAAGTAGGACTAAAACAGAATATAAGCAATGTAGATTTAATAATAATAGGCGTGCAAAGAAGGATGCACTTGATTGGAGACCAAGAGATAACTCAATGTAACCTCTTTTGTTGCCTTGGTTCAATAATTCATAATGAAGGAGAGGCTTTAGGAGGATTTTGCCCATAGAATTAGAGCAACATGGGTAAAATGGAGAGGAGCATTTGGAGACTGGAGTCTTGTGTGATAGGTGACAAGGATCTAAATTTCGATGCGGTACGCCTCGTATTGGGTGTATTGTATCATATCTTTTGGTTCCCAATACACCTGTTTACAGGTGTTTTTGGGAACCCATTCATTTTTTTTTTAAATAATATATAAAAGTATATTTAAAACTAAAACTTAAAAGAAACTACGAAAGGGGGGGGTATCGTTCAAAGTGCTGATACACCTCTGCTGATACACAGAGGTGTATCGGTACTTTGAAGCATGATAGGCGAACACCACTTTAGCTAAAGGGAAATAGAGTAGTTGCAATGCCAGCTATGTTGTATGGGGATGGGTAGTTAAGAAACAACATGTTCAAAGAATGAGTGTGACAAAAATATGAATACTTAAATGGATGAGTGGTAAAACTAGGAAGGACTGGGTTAGAAACAAAGTCATACAAAGGAATGTAGGAGTAACTCTGGTAGGTGATAAAATGAGATAAAATTCATTGCATAGAAGACCATCTACAATACCTATTAGGAGAAGTGATCTGTTACAAGTTGAAGGGGCTAGAAGAGCTAGGGGCAGACTGAAAAGGACTTTTTTTTTAAGAAAAGGATACATTCATTGCAAAAAGGGAGGTGATTGAGATGATTTGGTTATGTGCATAGAAGACCATCTACAATGCCTGTTAGGAAAAGTGATCTGTTACAAGTTGAAGGGGCTAGAAGAGCTAGGGGCAGACTGGAAAGGACTTTTTTTAGAAAAGGATACATTCATTTCAAAAAGGGAGGTGGGGGGATGTAGATGTACAATCAGAAACCCAACATCATATAAACCAAAAACAACCCTCCCAGAATTTACAGAGGCATATTTGTATCACTATATAGAAAATCCCTTCCCAGTTCCCACCCCAGCTTTGGATAGACCATTAGCCACACAATTAAGCTTTCTAGTGATCCACCAAAAAGCAATTAATAGAAGTGGTYACCTTGATCTCATTGAAAACACAATTACATCTCCATGGACCTTTCACACCATTCATCCAGCAGATCATATTCCTAGATTCCCCTTCCACCACAACCGAAGAGAGACGAAGGCAGACCAAAAAGGACTTTACTTGAAGTAATAAAAAATGATTTAAGTGCCCATAATTTAACAATGAATATGGCACTGAACAGAACATAATGGTGAAACAGGATTCATGTAGCTGACCCCATATAGATGGAACAAGACTTAGATAGTGATGACCACATAGTGAAAGGAAAGATTTGTTCCTGCAAATGTGTTATAGTGATTTAGTTGGCTTCTTTGCACACATTTTACTTATGGTGTTTTAGGTTGTTTGATGATGGAAGAAAAATGTGCAGCTTTAAATCATTAGAGTGATAGTTGAAAACTAGATAATAGTGTGGATTATTGGAATTTAAATGGCAATCTGAATCCAAAGATGCAGATTTGTCTTTTTCTTGTTTTAAGATTGTTTGGGTCTGATTAGCTTTCTTGAGAAACAATTTTTATATAGAAATGTATGATCATTGTGTCAATTATACCTTCAAGTTCTGTTTCAATCTAGAATTTTACACAGTTTTGCTTATGCTATGGATTCTTCTCACTTAATGCTACCAATTGGCAAATTTGACTGGTGAGTCCTAGGTAATTGATTATATGGTGACTTATTGCTCCTTTGAACCTGCCAATTACTTGTTGGAAGTCAAGGGATTTATTCTGGACCTTTCAGTAATAATTAGCCATTAGTGTGTAGTATGGTAACTAGTTAGTGAGGTGGTGTGGCATACTAGTGAGAGAAAGTTTTTTTTTTTTTTTCATGGCAGTTATGGGAGACAACAGTGAACAAAGTCTAGTATTATGATTCCCTCTAGTTACCTGAATGTGTAGATGACCTCTATTAAATTGAATGGTGAGAATTATGTGCCTTGGGCTAAATCTGTCGAAATGTTTCTAAAAGCTAAGAAGAAGGTGAAGCATGTGAAAGAAGAAAAATGCTTAGTTGATTCTTAGGGGTACAGTGAGTGGGAACAAGAAGATGCACAGATTATGACATGGTTATGGAATAGCATGGAACCCAAGATTAGGGTGGAGTTTATGTTATACAACCAAGGAGATTTGGAACCATGCAATTCACAGATTACACTGTGGATGACATGTTGAGGAAGTGGGGTGAAATTGCAAGTTACACACAGACCAAGTCAGTAATGAGTGTGGCTTGGACCCCCCCACCTAGTGGATTCTTGAAATTAAACTTTGATGGATGCAGTAGGGGAAACCTGGGACAATCAGGGATCGGGGGTGTTTTTAGAGATGAAAATGGGGTCATCTCTGCTATGTTCTCAGGTCCAATTGGAGTGGGTGACTCCCTTAGAGCTG